GCGCATCACATAGTGTTCTTATTCCGGTTATTAGCCTAGATTTACTATGTGATGCGCACAGCATACAAGTATAGACTGGATTGTCTAAATTGGTACAAAACATTTCATGTTTATTTTTTAAAGTGGTTTGATGGTGCTACCCGCAAGTAGGCTAAGACGTGGATTTGCCACCATCGGGTGGGGTTAGAAAAACATGATTTTGCCACTATCTAGTGGGCTTAAAACTCACAGTCAATGCATTTATTCCAATTCAAATAATCCAACCTTCACCCACAGGCATTTAGACAGTTATATCACATAAACATATAGCCTTATGGTAAGCATGCTATCATGGCAGTCACTCACACACATGCAAGGATGCTAAAGCATAAACACTTACCGAGTACTCCAAGCCAAAACAGAAGCTATGTTAGAATCGGATACGTATCGGATACAGATACGCGTCCAATACGACGGGATACGTATCAAATACGGCAAAGAAGTATCTCAATTTTTATTTTTATTTTTTTGAATTTCAGATACGTTTGGGATACGTGAGGATACTTCAGGGATATGCTTGGGATACTTTCAGGATACGGCCAGCGGGGCAAAAAAATAATTTTAAAAACTTATAATGGGGGTCAAAGTGTAAAATAACAAAAGTGATGTAAAATAAAACAAAAATAAAAACAACCAAGCCCTAGCTCTAAGGTTCGCGAACAGCAAGGAGCAAGGAGGAGGAGGAGGAGTCTCTATCGTAAAAGAGAGTTTAAACACAAAGGGGGAGGAGGAGTATACATCACACACACGCACACTTATTACAACATTGCCCTCGCGCAGAGGGTCCGAAAGAATAATACAGTCCCAAATAAATAATTACAGTCCCGAATAAATAATTACAAAACCGAATAAATAATTACAAAAACCCTAATTAATTAACAAATTAACTAGGAAAGCAATAAATTGCACGCAAATCCGTGGACCACCCCGGCTTTGTTCCAAATGATGAATGATGCATGCTCGGGTTGCCTTGTGCGGAGAATCCCTTGCGATGCCCCGATTTGCCTCTGTTTGCAATTATTCTTGGGATGCGTGCCAGGCTCCGAAAGGTTGCGAATTTCTGATTTGTTGCAACAGAGAGCAACAAAGGGGCATAGCAAAGTATTTTCACATATGTATGCATGACTACTCTTCAAGGAGTGTAGTCCTCGATCCTCGTGTCACCAATCACGCATCTCGATGCATGATGGCCGAGAAGTCGAATTGCATGACTCAATATGAAATGAATGCGCATATGGACACAACAAGGCCTAGACTCCATCATGGATAATCCGGAGTGTCGGCGACCGGGAATTGAGACACGTTTCGTCACTCGGAGTACGAAACGTCCCTCGTTTCCCGTACTTGGGCTAACTCCTATCGCAAGCGCAATGCAATATGCATGATATGCATGAATGCAACCCTAACATGCAACCTAGCATACAAAATGCTATGAAATGGCATACACAATGCACGATGTAACGAGGCATACACAATGCTCTAACATATAACCTAGCATACGCAATGCAATGAAATGAAATGGCATACACAATGCATAATGGACTTACACTAACATGAGTGGACCTTAGCCACACTCACATCAGTAGCCATTAAGTGAAAATGAAACTCTCGAAATGCGTGCACGTATGCACGCAAACCGAGGATCAAACCTAATGCATGACATGTAACTCTAACAAGGCATGGCAAGGGATGTAAGATGGCATGCAAACTCACAAATTTCAGCACTGAAATATGATGCTAAACAGCCCCGAAACATGGAAAAATGGCACCCGATGCATGAGATGAACCCCGAAACTCGAAACTAGGCACATGGAATGACTTATAGCTATACAAAGCATGCATTATTTGATCATGAAGTACAAAGACAGAGCCAAGGCAGTCCCAAAACATGAACATTTCTAGTTCAAAGCATGGCCAAAAGATGCTACCATGGTGGACAAAAATAGCATGCAATCTTGACTAGCAAACATGGTTTACATGGCAAGTATATGAAGAAAATGTAATCTCACCAAAAAAGGAAAAATCAGTGAACAAAACATGTGAAAAGAGGCCTAAATAACCACTGAAATGGAGCCAACACATGCAAAAATGATGAACACCTTTAGAGGGCCATGCAACGGATTATTAAGCACATACAAGGTGGACACTTAGCATGGCATAAAAAACTATGAAAATCAAATATGATAGTCCTAAAAATCACCAAATTGACCCTGGAAAGTGACTTTGAAGCATGCAAGGTAGGGTCTCTTTGGAAGGCCAAAATAACCACCAAACAAGTCAAGGAGAGAATGGGTCACCCCCCTCTGATTTGGAGGCTCAAAACAGTGTGCTAGCCACTGAAAATCCACTGGATTTCAGTGGCTAGAAGGCCAACAAAGCATGCAACAAGAGCTTAGGTGTAAGGCTCAAAATAAGGGACAATCAAGCATACAAGGAAGCATATGACCTCAAAAAAGAAAATGCCCTTAATCAAACATGAAGATGATGTCAAAATGAGACTTTTTCCAGTTTATAACAGATCTCAAAAATGAACATAAATGGGGCTAATCTATCATGCAAAAATGGCCCTAAAAGAGAGAATAGAGACAAAGGACAGCAGCTGGCCCCAAACAGTGAATAGCCCTTCAACAAAGTTGAAGAGGGGCTCAAAATGAAGCTCTTTACAATTTACATCAATCCACGAAAATGATCACAAATAGGGCTAAACTATCATGCAAGAAAAAGGCCTAAAAGAGGGATAAAGAGACAAGTGGTAGCAGATGACCTCAAATGGAAAAGAGCCCTTCAACAAAGTTGAAGAGGGGCTGAAAAAACGACATTTCACAGTTTATGACCAAGTCCAAAACAGCTCACAAATAAGACAAATACCATGCAAAAATGGGCCTAAAAGAGAGATTAAACACAAAGGGTGAGGAGAAGACCTCAAACAGAAAAAAGTCCTTGACCAAACATGAAGAGGAGCTCAAAATATGACTATTTACAGTTCAGGTCGGAGCCCAAAAATATAAGCAATAAAAGCAAAGATAGCATGCAAAATAGGGTAAGAAAAGAGGAAATAGGGACTCACCCTTGAAGATAAGCTTTCCAGCAGCTTTTGGTCTAAATTTTTGAGCTTTTAACCTTTTCAAATGGCCTCCAAGGTTCTGGAATGGAGTGTAGAGGTTGTAGGCTTGGAGGTGGTGTGTAAATGGCCAAGGATAATGGACTTTAGAGCTTGGAAGGGAGAGCTATGGAGGAAGATGGTTGTGTGCCTTAGCAAAAATCTCTAACCCTTAGAAATGAAGCTCAAGTGTTGGTTTTATAGAGGGAGAGAGGCCAAGGGAAAAGGGGGGAAAATCAAATTCAAGTTCCCCCCCCCCCAAAAGGCAACCCCTCGGATACATGATCTGGGGGGAAGCAGCTGGCACAACTGGAATACACTTGGAGAGAGGATCATGGCCAGCCAGGTTCAAAAGGTTCAGGTGGTCGGCCGACCACCTCCCATGGCCGGCCGGCCTGGGGTCAAAAGGGTCCATGCAAATTGCTGGCCGGCTACCCCATAAAGGTGGCCTTCCATGTGTGCACAACACAAATATGTGGTCAAAACCTAGAAAATATGAACCAGGAGAGAGAAAAGCCAACTTTCTAGAGGGGTTCAAAAGGATCAAGGACAATTATTGGCCGGCCTATACATAATGGTGGCCTCCCAGGTGTGTACAACACAAATATGGGGTTTAGGGCTAAAGAAAGTGGCCCCACGGTGGTCAACATTAGCTTTTTAGTGAGGAAAACGGGCGATGGAGAGCAATGAAGAAATAAAGCTGGCTTTTCAGAACAATTGCTGGCCTTCCACCCTCCTACAAGCTTCCTAACAATGAAAATGAGGTCTCCACCAAAAATGAACCAGAACGGATGCAAAACGGAGGTTCGGGGACCGAAACGCACGGCCCGAGGCCCCGAAAATGGGCTGTTAAGCACCGGAGGTGGCATTTGACCACGAAGTTGGTCTCTCAGGCCACAGTGTCTCCCAAAAGGGAGTAAATAAGATGTGTGCCAAAAACTGGACCAAACGGAGGTGGTTAGGCGGTCTCGAACCGAGGCACACGGCCGTCGGCTCCGAAAAAACTGGAAACCAGGCTCCAACTGGGAAAAATGGCCTACGACCACGAAACGTAGCCTACGGCCACTGAGAGATGATCTACGAGACCTCCCCCTCCCTTCGGGAAGAGAAAATAGAGAAAACAGAGCCTGGTTCGCAAACCGTGGCAAGGCTCAAAAGAGCCCCGAAGTCTGGAAGCAAGGCTCGCAGCCGAGACTCCGCAACCTCAGAACGAGCACGATATGCAATATCACCGAGCGCTCAACTGGTGACGTCTGAGTCTTAAGGTCGGTCAAAAATGGGGTGTCTACACCAGGTTTTCAAGAGTCAATGATGCCTTATTCTTATAGGATTACGGATTAATACAGTGACAGCTAATAATTAACTTGAGTGCACACAACTACTAAAATATATTAATTTATATTTTCAAGTCCTAAAGAACCAGAGTCCCACCAACTCTACAATTTTCAGGTCCTAAAGAACCACCCACATTTTTCTCTGTTTCCCTCACCTTTTCCTTTCCCTTTCAAATTCCTATCCAAATTCGCGATCCAAACATAACCTAAATAATTCTAGAAAATATGAAGTCCTTTTTTGCCAAATTCTTTGTGTACTAGCTTAATAAAGTGCATCTAGAAAATACTTATAATAAATTGTAGATCAGTAAATTACAGAATTCACTGTATAGAATGCCATAAAAAATGCATAATTTGCTATAAGATTCTAATATTCACGGACCTTCATTGAAAGCTAGTGGACATCTGGCAACGTCTGGATTTGTTATAATAGTCTCACTACAAGATTATAATTTGTTATAAGATTATAAGATTATAATTTGTTGTAAGATTCTCACTACAAAACTTCTGGATTTGGTCACTATCAAAACAAGCGTGATCATCTTTTCAATTTTAACAGAGATTCTATGTACATTATGCATGTAACCTCATTGGACATCTGGGAACTTCAGACCACTAAATGGGCTATAAAGACGAGGGGCGTTTTGAACAAATTTGAACTCTCAAAACCTCCGATGATTAGCAACATGCACAAACTATTTCATGAAAGCACAAAAAGGTGAGACTAGACCTCACCTGTCCATTATTATAAGCATCTAATGATAGAAGCAGAAGGCTGAAAGAAGACCGATTGCCAGAAAAGGTCTGTGAAAGACAATATGAATATTAGGAACAAACTTTCTACGAAAAGTAAGAGACTACATGTCATGAGAGGAAAATTACCTTATGAGTGATAAGATGAGGGGGAACATTCTCATTCTGCAACTCTTGTGGTGTCTATAAGAAACTGAAATTTAAGTTAAATGGGAGAATTACACTGACATTGTGTCAGTTACACTTATTTACCAAAAAGTGAAAAACATTATACACATTAATAATCAATATTATAAACTTTTTTTTATTAATTTGCAATTTTTTTCCACTGACCCAACTGTCAAGTAATTGTCCCTAGTTAAATACCCTGGCATTTTTAGGCAGATGTTGCAATCACAAGGCAAATTAATAGAAAAAAATCTTATGATTTCCAGATATGAATGCACACAATTAAAAATGAAAAAAGAAACAATCAACACTACAGGAATTTTTCATAATGTCAAACACCATGTCGCTGTGTGATTTGATGTGAAGACACTACTAGTTGAACATGAACATAGGCACTGTGAGTGAGAAGCCACAAGATGACTTTTTAATTTAGTTATTTATATAATATTCAAAATGCTGAAAGCTTAAGAAAAGCTTCATACCTAAACCAAATAAATTGCCAACCAAAGAATGTACATGACAGAATGGTTGGCATCATCTTGAAGCTATTAATGACTTATTATAAAGACGTGCACAAAAATTATAAACTGGGTCCAAAGCACATCTTTTTTATCTAGGAAGGAGGAAAACATAAAATATTTTTGTCATAGGACTGTAGTAGAGAGAATTTCATTACTCTACTCAGAAATGACTATTTTTCTCTTCTCTCTCTTTTCTGATATTTTCTTCTTGGGTAATTTACAATTAAATTTTTGTTTTCTTACTCTACTCCATCTTCCCCTTTTGTCAATCCATATATAATAATCAACACTTCCATCTCTTCATTTGAAATGCATTAATCCAAGCAGAACCTTGGCTTCTCATAGCATGCTACAATCACTCCACATAATGATTCACCGTCTTATTTAACATCTAGCAGAACAGTGCTCAATTATCATAATTAGTATGCAATTGAAAGTAAGAATCACAAGTGTATATATGTAGATAAATTCTTAGTTGGATTAGGTTAGCATCCATTAACAAACTAGCAATGCCACCACCAATAACACGACCATCAGGACAAAGATGGGGTGTGGAAGCAAAGAAAAAGTAAGGCCAAATTTGGCATTCTTAAAAAAATTCAAAAAGTCAAAAAGTCACTATCCTATTTGAGTCACATCATCTTATTTAAGTCACATCACCTCTCTATCACATCACTTCAAACCCAACCCATATCCAACCCATATTTCATAAAAAGTCAAAAATTGCACTTATTTAGGACACCCCAAACAACCCCTAAGTATCAGTCCTCAACTCTTAATCTTAATCGTTTTCCAGTTGGAAAAACTAAATTGTTTTGAGTGAAAAGAAATTACCAGCATAGCTTTCTTCGGTAATGAACAAACTTGTGTTTCTATATTGTGGGAATTTGACAAACCATTTGTGCAAGAAAAATAGATTGCCCCGGCTATAATACAAAAAATTTCAGACAATTAGATTTAAAGTTCTAAAATTCCAAGGCAGTGTATAAAGTGGGACTTTTTTCAACCCCCAAAAAGAAAACAAAAACAGTAAACGTAAAAATGACAAAAAAGTGAAAAGTTTACATAGTATTCAGTACTAAACCATTATAGGATTCCAACTACTAAACAATGAAAAGTGTAAAAGAAGAAGAACAAGTTGACTGTATTTTGAGCATAGAAAGAAGATAAATGCTTTTGGAAAACAATTTCAAGAAAATTGAAGAAAGTTGGGAAAATATGGGTAAAATTGGGCAGACATGCCTGTGATCTTGTCATTTACAGCTGCATAGGAGGAAGAATCAGATGAGTAAGAGAACCCAACTCCAATTGGTGTCTCCAAATACAACATATTTGTTTTTGTGGATCAATAAGCACACAATCACATGAAATCAATTCTTAGAAACCAAATCATCTATATAACTTGCAAGGGTATATATAGTATAGTACCTCTGTTCCAGCTATATTCATTCCTGACCAGTGCCTTCTCACTAGGCCTAAACGGTCCATTTTCAGAGAATGCCCCAACCCCCAATGAAGAACAACCAGGTCCTACCGCCAAAGTAAAAATCAAAATTTTTAAAAATTAAAATTAAAACTAAATACCCATAATGTGGGTGTGTATGAGGAAGTAAGAAGTTGGACTACCTCCATTTAACCAGATAACAAGAGGCTTGGAAGCCGGATTTGATTCAGCTTCAAGAACCTGAGCTTTCTGTTTCTTGGCATCAACGGTCACATACCCAGAAAATTGATGGTAGCTGACTTGGGGTTGGCCAGGTAGTTGATGAATTCTGTCCGATGCAGAGAGGGAAGATGAAGAAGAAGACTCTACTACTTCCATGGAAAGGGTAATTAGCTGTAACAGAGATGGGGTATGGACCTGCAATCTGTGTGGATCACTCACAGATCTGTGTGGATCGACTCAGATCTCGACCTACAGTTGTCAGACCTATGCCAGAACATGGCTGACGCCGCCGTATCTCGCAGCATCAACTAGGGTTTTACGATCAAAACTGTGTGTGTTTGTGTGTGTTTGTGTGTGTGTGTGTGAGAGAGAGAGAGATGAAATAGAAGATGTAGGGAGAGACGGTGGGTCTAGTGGCAAAGTAAGTGATGAGGAGGAGGCGCGTCGCCGTAGGGAAGGAGAGGCGGTGGTTCTGTTCTACGTATTTTAAAGAGGGAGAGGAATGGGTTTAAAGAGAGATGAGGTTTGGTTGTGAAGGAGAATCTATGTGTGAGAGAGAGTGAACAATCTGTTTTTGTTTAAACAGAGAACAGACGGGCGTTATTTCCCTCTAAAATTTTCACACCTTTGGCGACTAAAATAAATTTAGTCGGCAATTAATTTTACAAATCATTTGCAATGACTTCCTCAAAATATTCTAGTTTTTTGGTGAAAAAAATATATTTTAGTGGTTGAAAATAAATTTTTGGCCACTAAACTTTTGGTTGCCAAAGATAAAATTAAATTTTTTATTTTTCATTCGACGACTAGATAATTTTAGTAGCCAAAACTAAATGTACAGCGACTAAAACATATTTTAGTTGCTGAAAATAAATTTTTGGCAACCAAATTTTTGGTTGCCAAAGATAAAATGTAATTTTTTATTTTTCATTCAGCGACTAAATAATTTTGGCAGCCAAAACTAACTGTACAGCGACTAAAACATATATTAGTAGTTGAAAATAAATTTTTGGCGACCAACGATAAAACGTAATTTTTTATTTTTCATTCGGCAACTAAATAATTTTAGTAACCAAAACTAACTATACTACGACTAAAAATTTTTTTTGTCGCCCATTGTGGCATTTTTAGCAATATTTTTAGTCGCCAATAATCAATATACCCCGATTAAAAAGAATTAGTAGCTAAATCTTGTACTTTTCCCAACTAATATAATTTTTGGTCTCCAATTCCACAACTTTTGGCACTTATAAGTATCCTGGCACTTATAAGTATTTATAGGTAGATTGAGAGAGAGAAAGAGATTGTGTGTGTGTGTGAGAGAGAGAGATTCATACCGCTCTTGTTCTTCAGATCACCATGGCAACTGAGAGAGCTTCAAACAGAGAGAATGATATCAAGAGAGACAACATCGAAGGAACAATGCACAAGAAAACGGCCTAGGGCTTGTGTATAAGAAAAGAGCCTAGAGTGCAACGTACAGTGGTGATAGTGGAGAGGCGAGAGCGGCAAACGGCAACATTGATGGTGAGGTGAGGCGAGGTGGGGTGGGGTAGGGTGAGGTTTGGTGGTGAAGGAGAATCTGTATGAGAGAGAGAACAATCTAATTGGTTTAAACAGAGAACATGTGGGGGAATCTAAAATTTTCACACCATTAGTGACAAAATTGGTTTTTGGTCGGCAAATGCTATTATCTGCGACCAAAATATTTTAGTCGCTAAAAGTTTTTCATTTCCACTTATTTTTTCTTTTTTTTTTGTCTTCCCTCTTCGACTTTTGCCGACCAAATTTTTTTTTTGTCGCTAAATGAAAATTTTTTGCGACTAAAATAGTATATTGGTCGCTAAAAATCACTTTTTGGCAACAAAATATTTTTGGTCGGTAATAGTGTCAAGTTTTAGCTACAAATTTTTTTTTGGTTAGCAAATGTCAATTTTTTGCGACCAAAATATTTTTAGTCGGCAAAAGTGGTCGGCAATTGTGTATTTTGTTATACTTCAAATTCCATCAATTCCATTAAAAGAAATACATAATAAGAAACAGAGCAAGATTCAATTTTCAAAGCACATATCAAGTCAACCGTAGTAACAGTAAGTCCAATCTGTGTGAAAGAGAGAACAATTTGATTTGTTTAAACAGAGAACAGGCAGGGACAACATTAAATGGTTTCCCTCTAAAATTTTCACACTTTTGGCGAAAAAAGTAGTTTTTGGTCAGCAAATGTTAAAAATTTGTGACTAAAATTTTGTTGTAGGCAAAGCTTAATTAACGGCAACTAAAATATTAGTTAGCAAAAAATATTAATTTGGCGACTAACCTTTTTTTGGTTGAAAAAAATAAATATACGACGACTAATTTTTTTTTTTTTGTCGCCAAAGATAAAAAATAATTTTTTATTTTTCATTTGGCGACTAAATAGTTTTAGCCAAAACTCAATATACGGCGACTAAAATATTTTTAGTCGCTAAAAATAAGTTTTTGGCGACCAAAAATAAAAAATAAATTTTTATTTTCCATTCGGTGACTACATTGTTTTAGTAGCCAAAACTCAATATATGGCGACTGAAATATTTTTTGTCACTAAAAATAAGTTTTTGCCGACCAAACTTTTGGTCGCCAATTCCACAGCCAACTTATTTTTGATCGTCCGCGACCAACTTATTTTTTCGTCGCCAAAATATGACCTTCCGCGACCAAATTTGTAGTTGGTCACCAAAATCATACCACTTTCTGCGACCAACTCATTTTTTGGTCGCCAAAATATGACATTCTGCAACCAACTCATATATGGTCGCCAAAAATAATGATCATTCCCGACTAATTAATATTTGGTCGCCAAAAGTTAACTTTTAGCTACCAACTTTTATATTGGCCGCGGAAAGTGGTCGCTAAAAGTGCAGATTCTTGTAGTGTGTGTTAGATTATAATTGTAAGAATGAACAATGTTGTAAGAGAAATTTGTTCTAATAGATATAATATATAAGTGATAGCAATGTTTTAAAAACCGGACTGGTGAGCGAACCGAAAAAGGGATCGGGTGGATGGGTCACTGGTTTAACCGTCGAGTTGAACCGGAATCGAACCGTGACGTAATAAATATATTAAATTATATTTAAATAAAATATAAGTAATAAAATTATAAATTAAAAATATTAAATTATCTTAAATATTTGTCCTAATATTTTGTTACTGAAAAAATATAATAATATATTTTAAAATATTATTAATTTTAATTTTAGAATAGGAAATCAAATATTTAATATTCCCTCTATATGATTTTAATTCAAATAATTTGATTGAAAAAAGAACAAAAAATTTAGAGGGATATGAAAATTTCAATATTCCCTCCAATACATTTAATTGAATCCCACATTGTAATGCCCTCAAAAATAATACCCAAACCCATCATTTAACAGTTCTATAAACATGATAGCTAAGTCACATTTCCATTCATCAGAGTTAATATTACAAAAGGATATTTCATATAAGTTACAAATGTTTACAAAACAATAAAATGCCCGCGAGCTTACATCTTTCCAAGTTGTTACTTGGTTACACAAAAGAAGAGTTCTAACTCTTTTACAAGTAAAGCCCTCGGCTTAGATTTACATTTAGATACAAATATTGACAAAACATCAAAATGAAGCCTTCAGCTCCAAAACCTCCCAAGCTATACCCTTGGAGGTGGCATATCACATGTACCTGAAAATGGTGTCCCAAGTAGGGTGAGCCAAAGCCCAGTAGAGATATGCTAAACCAAATATGAGAAATGGCTAAAACATTAGCATTCGACAAATGGCTAACACTTGTAAACCAACTTACACCCGTTCCATAGCTCAACAACAATTACATCCATATTTCAATCCACTTCCATTAATTTATCCAAATCAATTTATAGACATGGTTCAATATTTATCCGAGCAATTCGAAATGACACTACAACTCATATTATCAACACTTCAATCATCAACGTCATTCAAACGTATTTAAGATTTCGAGATTTTCACCCTAGACACTCTGGCCAACTTAATTATCAATGGAGTTCATCCCCTATCTCCTCCCAAGCAATGGAGTACATCCCCTATCTCCTCCTATACAAAGATACATATACAATGTATTTAAACACATTATCATATACAATGATCAATTTAAAGCACATATTCAATGTGTTAATCCAACCGTCATATTCAATGATATAATCCAGTTGATTAGTTTCAATTTATGTAATCATCATGCAGATCTACAACAATCATAGCTATCCTTCATTGATAGCCCAAAACAGTTATCTCTAAACAGGTAAATAAATCTATCAAATAGATAAATTATCATATTTTCCATAGGTGAGTGATTTACCGATCCAACTACACCATTTAATCACAATTTTCCCCAATTTCACAATTTCAAACCAATTTCATATTTATACCAAATAATTTCTTTAATTTCCAATTAGGGAAAATCTCCTTTTTTTTATAGATCAAGTCCATACACAAATGAACCCAATCTCAAGACCTCACAGATACAATGGAGCCCAAAGACATGAAAACCCCTCTTTTATAATTTTGAAACAAACCCTCACTTTACCCAAAACTCCAAAAGATCACCATCTATACAAAATAACCAACATTTCAAAACTCATAAGATGGAGTAGATTATCCTTATCTCAAATGGAGAAGCTCAAAGGAGATGAAGATAGAACTCAAAAATGCTTCAAACTCAAGCTTTTTTGGATCAAAATGTAGCCCACGCGATGCTCTACCCTTTTTACAAAGGAAGTAGGGTAGAGACATTCTAGATCAAGTGTATTTGTAGAGAGAAAAAGTGTGTAGAGAGAGAGAGAGAGTCAGATCTAGGGTTTGGAGATAAAAAGAGATCAAAAGTGAAGGAGAAAACCGCTGCTGCGATCTGATATATGCGCGGCTCGCTCGAGCGAAGGACCTGTCGCTTGAGCGACCAGACACAACAAACACCTTGCTCGAGCGCAAGAAGCGTCACTTGAGCGAACAATGCGAGGCTTCAAGTCTGCAACTCATGCAGACGCACGCTCGAGTGCAAGAGTGCTCCCTCGAGCAAAGGAACAAAAAACACAGGGCTCGCTCAAGCGCAAGAAAGCTCGCTCGAGCGAAGAATACCAACCTTTAGGTCTTCACAGAGACGTAGACACACACTCAAGCATAAGAGTGCTAGCTTGAGCGAAGAGACACACCACAGAAAGCTCGCTCGAGTGCAACAACCTTCGCTCGAGTGAAGAAACAAACACTCAAGGCTCGCTTGAGTGCAAAGAGCCAAATTCTAGACAGCAACCATTTGTTCCAGCACCCAACCAACCTGTTCCAAACTTACCCAACACATCCCACAACTCAAATACACAGAATTAAAGGATGGAAACAAGATAAAGACAACGACAAACACCCACGGTACCCGAGTTTGGAACACAATAAATAATGGGGAAAACCGAGATCGCTATACACATGGATTTCTTGAGTTTTTTTGAAAGAATTTTTTTCTTATAAATAGATGGAGATTTTCACAATAATTTCAAACTCCTAATGGAATTCCTCACAAGAGGAGACCCTTGAAAGAGCATTTTCAATTAAAATTT